CCAAGAAGGCAACAAACAACTGAAACAAATAAAGCATGATTTTCGATGATTTGTAATTGTACCATATCAATTTGTATTGTATATGTGTTTTTGGTTTAGTATGTACGTAAACTTTTATGTTTCACTTTTAAGGTTAGACTCACATTCACATCTATTATATACATTGTATAATTAATATAATTTGATGATATTTTTTTGTTCTGTTTGCGATTGATAAATGGAAAATAATTTGTTGTTTAATTTTGGTTAGTGATATAAGTTATATGTTTTGTATTTATAATATAAACGTAAAAATATTGGTCGATAGAAATGATGTATTAATGGATTTTTCCGTTTGACTAATTTGCTTTATTTATATTTTAAATAAACATAGATTGAAACCAAACATGTATTCATGATTAAAGAATTTTTTTTTATTAAATTTTGTAACAAAAACTCAATTAACAAGAAGAACACATAAAAAAAACTAAGTTTAAAGTCATTCAGTCAAATCTAAAAATTTAAACGGGCCAAATGGGCCAACCCGTTACGGATCAAAAAAAATTTCAACCCATACGAGTTGGTCCGTGACGGGTTGCAAGTTCTAAATATGTGTCCAAACCCGCTCCGTTACGGTCTTATTTGGGTGTAGCCCGCGGGCCGCACCCCATACCTACTAAGCCGGCTTAGCTACTATTTATGTTAATGAATCACCCACGCAACCTGAAATGTATGTGCCTTATTAATTGTTGATGTAGAAGCTTAGAACAAGATAATATTCTCATTATATATAGAATATTGCTTTAACTAGAACCACTGATATGTCTACCCGGATAAAAGTTTACAATTTCCAAATTATGATAGGTGATACACGACTAAATCGTTTCTTGTTTATATTTTGACTATTAATATAAATACAAACATTGTTTACAAACAAATAGAATGTGTGGGATAATATTTTCAGATTAACAGGAGTTGGAAGTGAGAATGTGATGGCAATATGAACTCGTAAACTTATAAAAGAAACTGTCGAATTTAATTTACATTATTTTATTTTATCGACTTAGTTTATTCCTTTCTCAATTCATACTCAAAAGTATCCATTTTATTAGGCAGATAATTCGAGAACCAACTTTTTTCTTCTGTCATTGTTCTTTTATACTTTGCTTTCAAAGTTGGCTTTGTATCAATTTCATTTTTAAAAGATCGGCATTGTATATGTATTGATTCTTTCATCTTTTAGTTTTTTCTTATATTTTTGTTTTATAATTTCTCTGTTCTTTGGGAACCAAGTGGTAGTTATAGCGGATGCCTTTTATATGTTAAAAGTTCAAACCCAAGTTTTGTATTCTGGTAACAGCAAATGTATAGTGGCTATACATTCAATGTTAATCAGTAATTACATCAATCAAGAACCAAAACATACTACTATTACACCAACAACACATTTGTAAACAACATGCAAAATACCAAATTAAATTTCGATCGTGAGACATTGACNATTGCAAACTATTTGACTATATATCATGATCACACTAATAAATTTATTTGCGTATAAAAATCTTAGAATCTACGGTTCCACCTTACTTAGTAACCTGCATCACACAAATAAAAAAAAAAAAAAGCAAATAGATTTTTTGAATTCGGTTCAAATTATGAAAAATAAGTTGATTCTTATTATGGAAGATAATTGCAACATCCCATGCTAATTTCTTTTTGTCAACCAAATGCATTATGGTGAGTTTGAATCCATGTAGTAATACACTAGCACAAACAACCAAATGCATTATGGTGAGTCTGAGACTTCCAGAGATCAAATATCATATTTTCTCAAACTACTAGCAAAAATTAAATACGTAAGATATGAGGAACATTCATGACAATGTTTCAATAAATCAAAAGCTTCGTCTTAGTTAAAGGCTACGAGAACATTAACATTACAAGCCATTGCTTTTTGTTCAATATACTTTTCATCGGAAAGACAGAGAAAGGTGGAAGTATTATGTTACATAGATATAGTATAATATTTGACAAAAAAAAGGTTAGGTTTTAGTTTAAGTCTTCACTTACCACTTTCTTACTTTCTTTCTTGACAAGCAAGCAATCTCTCTATTTTCAGTTTCTCATAAAAGTCTCGACGATATTTAAGAAATAATATATGATCTTCAGATTCCAGTTGTCAGCTTTGAGATCCTAATGAATAACATATATTCACATTGTAAGTGTAAGCAACTGAGTTTAACTTAGTAAATTTCAAGACTTTGTTTAGGGTTTTATCTATATACCTGACTCATTGTCCATCCCCAAGCTTCTTAATCGGACAAGTTCTGGAACTACAACCTTTCCAAGATCTGGTCTATCTTTCTTTCTTAGCTCTGCACATTTTAGAGACAGCTTAGCGAAAGTTATAGCTTCTTCGACAGGCCAATCAGGGACGGTCGGGTCAAGCATATCCTTGAAAGTTCCTTTATCGAGTGCCCTCGATACATGATGAGCCAGACCCATTGGACTCTTTGCAGTGATGATCTGAAGCAGCATTATCCCTAACGAGTATACGTCTGATTTCGTGGTTAACTTTCCCGTTTGCTGGTACTCGGGGTCTATGTAACAGAACGTTCCTGCTGCAGATGTCATGTGGTATTGGGTGACAGTATTAGCCACTGACGCAGGGACTAACCGAGCTAATCCAACGTCACTGATCTTGCTCACATAGTTTCTATCTAAGAGTATATTGGCAGGTTTTAGGTCACGGTGAACCAGAGGCTCTGGTTTTGCTTGGTGAAGGAAGGAGAGTGCGGTAGCGATCTCTGCTGCTATTTGGAACCTTTTCTTCCATGAAAGAGGCGGCGAGTTTCCTCTACGAAAGAGTCTATCTTCTAAGTTCCCATTGTCCATAAACTCGTACACCAAGCACCCATATTCCGGACATGCACCAAGGAGAAGAACCATGTGAGGATGCCTTATGCTACTTAGAACCTCGACTTCTTGTTGAAACTGCTTCTTTCCTTGAGCAGCATCAGGTCTCAAAACTTTAATAGCAACAGGAGTGTGATCAAGTGTGCCTTTATAAACCGGTCCGTATCCACCTTCTCCGATTTTTCTATGGTTTACAAACCTCGCAGTAGCTTCTTCAATCTCTTCAATGGAATATCTTCTGTACCGGACATCGTTCTGTACCAAAGCGTTAAGAGCACGGTCTTTCTCCTGCGATTCCCTTCTTGCTTTCATCTCTGCTTGCTTCCTTCTTTGTGCTTCCAACTCGGCCATTCTCTGCGCTTTCTCAGCTGCTTCAATTGCAGCTCTGCATTTGGCCTTCTCCATTTCTGCAACAGCCAGAGCTGCCTCTTCAGCACTCCTAGCTTCCTCAAATCTTCGTGCTTCTTCCATTTTCCACTGATTAAGCTCTTTTGCCTGCAAAAACATGAAAGTATTAGATGGAACAAGCAAACATCGTCATCAACTACGACCCCATAGTTCTTTTCTTACCTTCTTTTTTGCATTAAGTGCTTCTTTGCAGGCTGAGCTATACATGTCCATAGTTTGCTTGAGTTCAATCTTTAACCTTCTCATCTCAGCTTCAATATCTCTCTGCACAATAAGCATCCAACCATTAAGTTCATTACTAATCTTATTTCGCTAAAATTCGTTATCATCATAATTAAACTTATTGCTCCACTGTTAAACATACAGTTGATTGTGAAGCTGACTCATCAGA